TCTTCTGTTATTTCCAAGGCATCCGCCAAAATTCCTATCATTATCGCAGCCAAATCTTGTCCTTTTTCTTCTTCTATATTTTGAAATCTAAGGTAAAATTCTGACCTATCCATCTCCCACTTCAACATCCCACTTTTTTCTTGTTCAATCACTGTTAGTCTATTATCAATATTTCCAATCTTCTCCTCTCTTCGTTTACCCCCTTCTTCGACTTTTTGAAGTCTCTCCTCATACTTTGCCATCATCTGTTGAATATTTTCCACTTTTTCCTCCGTCCTCCCTGTTCTTTGTTCAATGGTATCTGTTTTTATCTTAAGATCTTGAATTCCTTGCATAATCATCTGTAAGGTTACTCTTTCTTGTTCCTTTTCTTTATCTTGCTTTAACATTGCCTGGATTGAACGCTGTCCAGATGGTGGGGAGGCAGAGGTAGACACAGAGGCACCCGAAGGTATAAGTTTCTTACTCATTTTAGATGATTCCAGCTCTTCAAGTTCTTTCAAATTTTAATCCAATTAAAAAAAAAAAGAGTAGCCAATTATAATCCAAAATGAAAAAGCCAATAATAAAAAACCCAATAATAAGGGAAAAAGAAGAAAAAAGAGAAAGAAAAAAAGATGAAATAAAAAAATTCTTCAAGTTCTTCCTGACCTTAATCCAATTAAAAAGTAATCCACAAGAAAAAATAAAAATAAAAACCCAGTAATAATAATAATAAACAAGACTAAGGCCAAAAAGAAGAAAAAGAAAAAAGAACAAAAGGAATAAGTTTCTTCAAATTCCACACCTTAATCCAACCAAAAAGATCTCAATTGAGAAAAGAAAAAAGATAGTCCACTGATATACATTAAAAAAAAAGCAAAAGTCCCAATGGAAAGGAAAAAAAAAATCAAAATAAAATAAAAATGAAAAATTCAAAGGCTTCCCCTTGCAAATAAATAAGGGTTAAGAATAGAAACCTTACTAAAATAAAAATATCGGGTAATGCTGGTGGAGGGGGTGGCGGAACTAAAAAAAAAATTAGAAAAAGAAGGTAGGAAACAATACACTGCCCTCTGCTTAGTTATCCAAGGCTCTAATTATGACTCCCTTCTCTTTCCCACAAGCTTCAAAGCTAAACCATAGATATTTAATTATAAACAAGAATCCAGAAAGGCACCTGTAATAATATTCTACAGGGCTCTTTCCTCTATCTTATCAGGAAATGTCCTTGAGAAGGAGTCTTTCACATCTCTCTCCAGTTCAAGTAAAATATTTCCAAGCCTCTAGTTGGCAGTGTTACAAAGTTTCTTAGTTCTCACTTTCCCCCCTCCTCTCAGGACAGCATAAATAAAATAAAATAAAAAGCCCGCAGGAAATATATAAACATATATAAAAGGCAAAAAAGAAGAAAAAAAAGAAAAAGTAACCAAAGGGAGCCTCTAGCCTTAAAAAAAAATTAGCATATGAAAAATCCAAAGGGAGAATAAAATATATAAATATAAAAAGAAACAGTCCAGTTATCCAGTAAGTAACAATGAAGTCCGGTAGCAAAGAAAAAAAAAAGCAAATAAAGCCTCGCTTTGACGTCTCCCTTGGAAAAAACGCCGCTTAGTCAGTTTTGTCAAAAAAAATCACACAGGTTTCTTCTAGTAGTCAGAGTGAACTTTCAAAACTCAAAAAATTAGATAAAAAAAGGTTTCTCACCCAACCGACAGACTCTCTTTCAGACCCGTTCTTTCTGGAGCTGCCCCGACTTCAGCAGCATGGGGGCTGCCTCTCCGCTGCCAGCAAAAAGAGCTTCTCCCGGGTCAAGAACAGTTGTTGTAATTGGGTTTGTCTAGTCTAGTGAAAAGAAGGACTAGGGGTGACATGATAGCATTGTTCCAATACAGGTAGCCCTTGACTTATGACCACAATTGAGCCCAGAATTTACTTTGCTAAGTGAGAAATTTGTTAAGTGAGTTTTGCCACATTTTACGACTTTTCTTGCCACATTTGTTAAGTGAATCACTGTAGTTGTTAAATTAGTAACACGGTTAAGTGAATCTGGCTTCCCCATTGACTTTGTCAAAAGGTCACAAAAGATGATTGTATGACTTGGGACACTGTAACCATCAGAAATATAAACCAGTTGTCAGGTATCAAGTGACCATGGAGATATGATGTAACAGTGATAAGTGAAAAATGGTCATAAGTTACTTTTTTCAGAGCTGCTGTAACTTTGAACGCTCAATAAATGAACTGTTGGAAGTCAAGGGCTACCTGTATTTGAGGGGTGCCACAAAGAAGATGGTGGTCAATCTATTTTCCAAAGCACCAAAAGGCAAGACAAGAAACAATGGATGGCAACTAACCAAGAAGCAACCTAGAACTAAGGAGAAATTTCCTAATGGTGAGAGCAATTAACCAATGGAATAGCTTGCCTTCAGAAGTTTTGGGTGCTCCATCACTGGAGGAGACTGGATAGCTATTTGCTATAGGGTGTCCTGCTTGAGTAGGGGGTTGGACTAGAAGACCTCCAACGTCCCTTCCAACTCTGTTTATTCTGAAAGATCATCTCCAGTATGTCACCACTGTTCCGAGTCAGGCCTGAGATCATCTGGGATAGGTCCATGACTGCTACCGTCACCACCACTGCCGTCCTCTTTGGCCTGGAGCTTGGCATGACGGTGGTGGTAGAGGGATATGTGAAAATGGAACACTCCTGGCCACTGCTCTGCAGTCTGTACTCTGCCCACACGCTTACTCACCCGCCTGCCTGGGTCTCCCTTTGGCCGCCCACAGTGAGTTGTCCCTGCAGCAAGTTGGCCGTGTGGAGTTGTCCTGAGGCAACTTGGCGATGAGCTGGTTGAGCCAAGCTGGCTGTGGCAAATTGTCCCATTCTGATTGGGGGGGCACACTCCCCTCAAGTTTTTTCCTAGTCTCCTTATGAGGACCACTGGGCCACGGATTCAAGTCACCTGCTCCACCTTTGGTTTTAGGTCTTCCAAAATATTTCGTAGGGGCCACGAAGCTCTAGCTGTAGTTTTGTAACACCTGCTCTGGGTCCCACTCTTGGAATGCCAGCCCTTGACCACCACCACTGCTTTTGCAGAGGCCCCAGTCACAAGTTACCAGCGCCAAAATTTTCAACTCCCTGGCCCCTGTCTTCAGGCCCTGTTGTAGCATTGCTGCTCATCCTCAGTCCTCATGGCACTGGCCAGTCTCCGTTGTTCGCCTCTCATCACCACCACCCTCAGTCTCACCTGTGGGGCTCCTTCCATGACCCAGCATCAAATGCTGCTGCTGTCGCCCTCACCAACAGTTGGCCTTGGTCTCAACTGTGGGGCTTCACTCCACACCTCTGGAGCAAGCCACTGCTCCATCCTTGGCCATCTCCAGTCCCAGCTTCAGCTCCATCCCCACAGCCTGACACTTGTCACTGGTGCCAATGCCATCACTGCCCTTGGTCCTACCCTTGCGGTCAAGCCACAGCTCTGCTTCTGGGTGCCCTCTGTGTTCACAGCACTGTTGCTGCCAAACAGCTGAGCCAAATGCCATATTTTAATCTGACCTCAGCCAGAGAACTTCTCAGAACATTTCTATTCTATTCTATTCTATTCTATTCTATTCTATTCTATTCTATTCTATTCTATTCCCATTACCATTACCATTACCATTACCATTCTGTCAGAATGTTCATGAACTGTCAGAGACATGGTAACAAGGTCAGCCAATGAATAGCATGGCAATAGATCAGCCAATGGGAGCTGAATTAGAAACTGAAATTTAAAGAGGGAGTCTGGGCGTGGCTTATCTCTGCTCTGTGCTCTGAAGCTGAAAACAAGTCTGTTCTTGTCTGGGCTTGTCTGTTGAAACTGAAACTATTCTCTGCTTGTGTTACGTTGGAAGAATCTACTATTGGTATTGTACGTTTTACTCATGTATATGAACAAGTTATTGAATCCTGCTGAATCAGTAATCTGTGTGTGCTTTCTGGATTTGATTTCTGAAATGAACTCTTAACATATTCCTATTCTATTATTATGAAATTTATTTGCCGCCCATCTTGTGTCCAATGACATTGGGTGGCTTACAACTTAAAAACATTAAAAAACATTAAAATCATGAATTATAAAATAACACAGCAGATAAAATCATTAACACAAGATGGCAAAGGAGGGAGCTGGAAACACAGGGAGGGAGGTGGGATTAGATTTTAATTAGTCCACCACCTCCAGCATGAAGCTCCCCCATTGAGTTCCCAAACCATATGGCAGAGCCAGGTCTTAAGGCTCTTATGAAAAGTCCAGAGGGTGGAAACCAGTCTCACCTTGGGGTAGGATGTCCCAGAGGGCAGGAGCCATGGCAGAGAAGATTCTTTTCCTGGATCCTGCCAGTTGAAATTCCTTGGCTGATGGGATTTTAATATTTATATTTATTTATTTATAAATACTATAGGCCACCTGTCTTACCTCAAGGTAACTCTGGTTAACTTAGTCATCTGCAGTATGCCCCCGCTGCTGGTATGGGTGGGGTGGGCCATTCCCATGGGGTGAGACGGTTACATTTTTGGTTCCCAACCTCATGTTTACAAAGTAAAATACATTGTAGGAAAGACTAGGGCAGATCAAGTGCAGCTGGTCTCAGCAGAGCTATTGGATCTGGTCCTGATAATTTAAAAATGCTGAGGCTATTTCTCAATTGCCTTCCTTCACCATTTGTAATTTAGTTCCTGCTGCATATTTTCCCCACTATTACACTGGAAAAAGAAAAAAAAAGTCAAGGAACTGAAGTATTATTTCCATGCATTCTTCCTGCCCCCAAGACCTCTATAAAAGATAGATTTTTAGTTGGAAAATAGTTATATGTATAAATTAGTAGGATAATTTTGTGTAGACCACTTCTGTAGGAGATCTCTCTGTTTTCGAAAGTGTGACTTATAGGAGCCTGCTGCCAATTCAGTAATTTTGGTTCATATATTGTTGCCCTTTTCTGTAAGACTTTATTATTAAATGTCCATTATTATCTTTTTGTAGTGGGCAGATCAAGCTGGCAGACTTTGGTCTTGCCCGACTTTACAGTTCAGAAGAAAGGTAAGATGTTTAAGAGGCGTATAGACATGACTTTAGATATTTTAAACATAATACGCCAGGATGGACTTCTGTACAAACCTTATTGAATTCACTTGCAGGGTCTAAGATAATTAACCATGGTTGACATAGCTGTGCCTACTTCACTGTGGGGCCTCCACCGCAGCTGACCCATTGCGGGCATTTTATCGTCAGCCGACCATTTGCCAACGCTCCTTCAATGCACCCTCCTCCTGGGCAATTTGTCAAAGGATTCTTACCCCCAGCCAGTCCACAACGCAGGATAAGTAACCATGCATCCCTGCTGCACCTTCCTATTGGACACAGTCAATGATAAATGCCCCATGACGGGTTGGCTGCTGTGGGGGGTGAAGTGGGCATAGCCATGTGCCTGTGGTTAATTGTCCCATTCCACACGTGGCATACAAGTATATAGGAATTACCTTTGATGCCTCTCTTTTTGAGTCAGTGGTGTTAATGAGGGAGCTGATTGCATGTCTTTGCCTGTTTATTGCCTGGTATAATCTTGTTTGTGTTTTGGACTTATAAACTAAGTTTATAGTTTACTTCTAACACACCTCAGTCTTGAACTTGATTGAAGCCATTAGGCAAATTATTCTGAGCCTTAGTTCCACTGACCATAAAAGCAGTGATTTTCCTAATTTTGTTTAAAACTAAAACCAGAGAGAAAGCATTGACCTATCTTTCTCTGGCAATGAAGGTATCCTCCTGGATCTCCTGATATGTGATAGTTTTCTGTAGAGCGAGGAATGTTTGTGTGAGATCAGAGGCAGTTTTATTATTTCTTGTCTCTGAAGTGTGATACATAGATACACAGTTCTGTGACTGTAAATTCATCACTTTTCATTCCAAATGCTCTGATAGGGCTTCAGGACAACTTTAGATAAAACTTCTAGTGGCTTAAAAGTGCTACTGTTGATTGCATCATCTGTTTTCTTTTATTCTTATAGAATTGAGCCTAAAGTGTTGTTTTATATAATTGTTTTTTTTTACTTAGCCGTCCATATACCAATAAAGTCATTACACTATGGTATCGACCACCTGAGTTGCTGCTAGGCGAAGAGCGTTACACACCAGCTATAGATGTCTGGAGCTGTGGGTAAGCTAGTGACAACTTTCGTGTTTTGATTTTGATGTTAGCTTGTGGCTACTATCTGCAGTCACTCATACCTCAAACTTTAAGCATAGTGTGGTTGAAATGGCATATACTTTTGATCCACCTTAAGTATGATAAATATCAATTTTTACGTTTCTTTAAGGACAGTAGCCACAAGCACATGCAAGAGCTCATTTCTTAAAAAAGAACCTTTAGGTTTTTAAATTTAAGATACTGTACTGTTCTTTTTTTATAAATGTGAACTGAAATATTACTACTGTTCATGGCAGTAATTTTCTTCAGAAATAATGACGGCCTAACTATTCCACAAGACAATGGGAAAATGCTGCTCTGTAAAAGTAGATAACATTATGAACTCCTTTGCATGTACCTTTCATTGACAATTTGCTGGTTATCTCCACCCCCCACCCCCACCCTGCTATTGGTGTTTTAGCTTGTTCTGTTTTCTTCCTAGCTGCATCCTTGGGGAACTGTTCACAAAGAAACCTGTTTTTCAAGCTAATCTTGAGTTGTCTCAGCTTGAATTAATCAGGTAAAGCATTATGTGAGTGGTGGAAAGGAGATTGGGCACAGAAAGTAGTTTGTGTATTTTGCCTTGGCAGTGCCAGCAGTTGTGATAGTTGCTGGAATTGCCAGCAATTATATTAGGTCCAGATCAGATCTATGAACAATATGTACAAACTGGTTGCTCATGTTAGAAATGTATATAGATGTTTTCTTATTCGGAGAAAAGTGCCTTTCTTGTGTTTCTTGAATGTATGTAACTGTTTATCTTCTGAGTACCTGTCTCCAGCCTGTCAATCTACTCTTCAGTAGACAGGACCCCAGAATTCTATATGTGCAGCTTATTCTTAGTTATAATTTTGAATGTGGTTCTAATGGTACTGTCAGAGGACTAGAAGCTGGCATTTAGGCTCTTTTTAAATCCCATACAGAGTTGGGAAAGAGGCAGAATCAGAAAACAATAGTTCTGCAGCTTATTTAGCTTGTCACATAACATCTACCTATTCCTCAGAAAATAGTGTTTCCAGTTTCAACAGCTGCAAAATCTTCCCTGTAACGTAATTGTTGTTGGGGATCTTTCTAAAATCTGAAACCCATTGCCACATTTTTATTATTCGTTTCAAAGTGTCATCTTTAGCTAATCTTAATAATCTCTGAGTTTGTCAAGATTTTCAGTTTGTACAAGGAAAGTTCTATTCTGTTGTATATGAATGGGGAGGCATTTCTGCGTGCTCTGAATACCACAGAAAAATAGGTTCTTTCTTTAAATACTTAAGATCACTGTACTTATATATATCTTCTGCATTTAGAGATCCATTCATGGAAATTTCACTCCTGCTGCCCAAATTATATTTCTTTTTCTCCCTGATGCCCTTTCTACTTCAATTGTAAAGATTATGCCAATAGCTATTTATAAAAACCTTTGGGATATTTAAAATAAAATTGGAGTTGAACTAGACAGAACTGAAAATCATTTATGCATACTCTTTGTGTATTTCCTCTTTAATATTTAGCAGCTAGATTTTTCTCTTACCTTTAATGTGAAAAAATCCTGGTTAAAAGTTAAATCAATCATGATTGTTCTACAAATAGGAAAGTCCTGAGTGATGATATATAAAGGTGAAACTCGAAAAATTAGAATATCGTGCAAAAGTTCATTTATCTCAGTAATGTAATTTAAAAGGTGAAATTAATATGTGAGATAGACTCATTACATGAAAAGCAAGATAGTTCAAAACGTGATTTGTCATAATTGAGATGATTATGGCTTACAGCTCTTGAAAACCCCAAATTCACAATCTCAGAAAATTGGAATATTACATGCAATCAATAAAACAAGGATTGTACATAGAACAATATTGGACCTCTGAAGAGTATAAGCATGCATATGTACTCAGTACTTGGTTTGGGCCCCTTTTGCAGCAATTACTGCCTCAATGCAGCGTGGCATGGAAGCTATCAGCCTGTGGCACTGATGAGGTGCTATGGAAGACCAGGATGCTTCAACAGCGGCCTTCAACTCTTCTGCATTGTTCGGTCTCATGTCTCTCATCTTTCTCTTGGCAATGCCCCATAGATTGTCTATGCGGTTAAGGTCAGGTAAGGTTGCTGGCCAATCAAGCACAGTAATCGCACGGTCATTGAACCAGGTTTTGGTGCTTTTGGCAATGTCCTACCTGAAAATGAAGTCAGTATCCCCATAAAGCTCGTCTGTGGAAGGAAGCATGAAGTGCTCCAAAATCTCCTAGTACAGGGGTCCCCAACCACCGGGCCGCGGACCGGTACTGGTCCATGGAACATTTCCTACCAGGCCGCCGCCATCTTGTTTGATGAGAAAGTGCTTCCGGGTGAGCTTTTCCGGTTGGAAAACGGCGTTTGGGTCCTGAAGGAATCCTCACGCCTTAGTTTCATCGAAGGGGGGGGCTTCGAACGAAACTAAGGCGCGAGGATTCTTTCAGCACCCAAGGCAAGGCGAGCCGAGCGACCGTCCCGAAGCCATCCCGAAGCGAAGCCCATCGACAAAGGTACAAAGGAGGAGTTGAAGGTGGCGGGGAGAAGCGGGGGACGGCCGGCTGGCCGGTCGCTCTGCTCGCCTTGCCTTGTCATGCGTGCTGATGCAGGTACCGGGCCGCGGATCATTTTGTGATGCCAGTACCGGGCCGTGGCACAAAAAAGGTTGGGGGCCACTGTCCTAGTAGACATCTGCGTTGACCTTGGACTTAATGAAGCACAGTGGACCAACACCAGCAGATGACATGGCTCCCCAAATCAACACAGACTGTGGAAACTTCACACTGGATCTTCAGGCATCTTGCAGTGTGTGCCTCTCCATTTCTCCTCCAGACTCTGGGTCCTTGGTTTCCAAATTAGATACAAAAGTTGCTCTCATCAGAAAAGAGGACTTTGGACCACTGAGCAACAAACCAGTTCTTTTTTTCTTTCGCCTAGGTAAGACGCTTCTGACGATGTTTATTGTTCAGGAGCGGCTTGACAAGAGGAATACGACATTTGAAGCCCATGTCCAGGATCCGTCTGTGTGTGGTGGCTCTTGATGCACTGACTCCAGCCTCAGTCCACTCCTTGTGAAAGTCCCCAACACTTTTGAATGGCCTTTTCCTGACAATCCTCTCCAAGCTGCAGTCATCCCTGCTGCTTGTGCACCTTTTTCTTCCACACTTTTCCCTTCCACATAACTTTCTATTAATGTGCTTTGATACAGCACTTTGGGAACATCCAACTTCTTTTGCAATTACCTTTTGAGGTTTTCGCTCCTTATGGAGGGTGTCAATGATGGTTTTCTGCACAACTGTCAGGTCAGCAGTCTTTCCCATGATTGTGATTCCTACTGAACCAGACTGAGAGACGATTTAAAGGCTCAGGAACCCTTTGCAGGTGTTATGGCTTAATTGGCTGATTAGAGTGGGACACTTTGAGCCTAGAATATTGAACCTTTTCACAATATTCTAATTTTCTGAGATTGTGGATTTGGAGTTTTCATGAGCTGTAAGCCATAATCATCTCAATTATGACAAATCACAGCTTGAACTATCTTGCTTTGCATGTCATGAGTCTATCTCACATATTAGTTTCACCCTTTAAGTTACATTACTGAAATAAATGAACTTTTGCACAATCTTCTAATTTTTCGAGTTTCACCTTTAGTTAATCTTGTGCCTAATCTTCATAAAGTTTATGAAAATTGCTTTTTTCTGTTCGTGCTTTAGTTGTGTATTATTAGTATTAGTATTATAAACTTATTCATTAAACATGAAACTCAGTCAACTGAACATTTAAAAATGTATCACAAATATCATTGACTGGCTCCGATGGTTGATACAGGTTGCTGCCAGCATCCTAGGTATCAACCAAGTATCTCCTTTAAATGTATGTTGTTCTGAGTAGTGCAGTCTTTTGCAGCTCCACTGGCAGTAAAGCAGGAAGCTGCAACTTCTTGATGTATTTTGCAAAATTCTTGGACATGGTACCAAGTGCCCTAATCACAATGGGTATCATTGTTACATTTTTCATCCATAATTGCATAGTTTCGATGGCCAGGTCGTGATATTTTGTGATTTTTTCCAGTTCTTTTTCTTCAACTCTGGCGTCTCCTGGTACAGCAATATCAATAAATTGTACATTTTGGTTTTTGACAACTGTGATATCTGATGTGTTGTGTTCCAAATGACGATCTGTCTATATTCGAAAGTCCCACAAGATCTTCACCTTCTTATTTTCAACAACATTTTCCAGATGTTCACACTGGGTTTGGCATTTTTGTCTACCTAGCGAGTCCTTACCAAGGACCTGGGATAGGCAAATCTGGATGTTTGATGGTGTTACAGATATCGCCGCAGGATGGAAGCTGTTGTTGTTATTATTATTATTATTTTATCCTGCCTTTTAAAATATATTTTGGTCTACTCAAGGCAGTGAACATGCCTAATACTCCTGCCTCCTATTTTCCCCACAACAACAACCTTGTGAGGTGGGTTGGGCTGAGAGAGTGCGACAGGCCCAAAGTCTTCCGGCTTTCATGCCTAAGGGTGTCCTAGTTTCTAGGGCAGCACCTTAACCACTACACTAAACTTTCTTATAAAGTTATCCATCTTCTCTCCACATTGCATGCATGTTGATGTGTGTGTTTGTGTGTGTGTGTGAGAGAGAGAGAGATTATTGCACTATTTGGTGTTAGAGTTGGGTGAATAATTTGAAAATAACCAAAGAACTAATTGATTTTAATTCAAGTATTATGTTTATTGAGAGATTCAAAACAGTGCTTACATTTCCTTTCAGCCGTCTTTGTGGGAGCCCCTGTCCAGCTGTATGGCCAGATGTCATCAAACTCCCCTACTTCAACACCATGAAACCAAAGAAGCAATATCGTAGGCGCCTACGGGAGGAGTTTTCCTTGTATGTTTATGTAGTGCTCTTTGGGTGAGAGCATAGCATATTGTGCAGCTTGGGATCATCCCTTTCAGGAAACAGGTTAAGATAGACATTTAGGGAGCAACCTTTTTTAAATAATAAATTTAATGTTAATTTAATTTTTATAAATAACTGAAAGTGGCAAACATATCGAATATTCCTTCTTCATCCTGTTTGCCCCATAACAACTCTGTGAGGTAGGCTGGACTGGGAAGGAATGACAGGCCAAAACCAGCCAGTTTTCATGCCTAAGGTGGGACTAGAACTCAGTCTCCTGGTTTCTAGCCTGGTGTCTTAACCACTAGATCAACTTTTGAGGATGGGGAAGAGAAAGGTGAAATTGTTAGCAGCTATGTCTTATGTATGCTTATTGCAGTTTTAGATAACTTTATTGGCTCAATGTGTGTTGTTAATTGTACTGGACTATGAACTTCAATATGTGTGAACTTCTAGGGTTCGTAAAACATTAATGGACGTAAAGCCACAGAATTTAGGTGAGTTCTACATCTACTGGAAGTGAATAGAGTCATTTGGTTAGCCAGAAAAGGAAGAGCATTAGACCTCTGAACATCATGGTGATCCATGTCCTAAGACAGAAGGTTTTCAGCAGGAAAGAAATGAGCAAATCCATACATGTGGCTCATTTAGCAGTGATTTAATCCTAATGTTAAGAGCTGTGGTGGCGCAGTGGTTAGAATGCAGTATTGTAGGCTAATTCTGCCAACTGCCAGCAGTTCAATTCTCACTGGCTCAAGTTTGACTCAGCCTTCCATCCTTCCGAGGTCAGTAAAATGAGGACCCAGAGTTTTGGGGGCAATATGCTGACTCTTTAAACCACTTAGAGGGGGCTGTAAAAGCACTATGAAGCAGTGTTATTGCTTTTGCTATTGTGGCTGATACCAAATATTGAGATCATTGCATCCTTTCTTCTAGAGCTGGTGCACTTGATTGGTTTTTACATGAACATATGGAAATGACTAATATGAAGTCATACTTATCCATGTAATCCAGAAACATCTGCTTTGACTACTAGCAGTTCTTCAAACACTTTATGATTGATAATTATAAACACGTGGGTTTGAAGCACAAATTTCCAGATGCTTGCAAGCACTAGTAGGATTCAACCTTTTTTACTACCGGTTCTATGAGAGCGCATAGGGTTCAAAAACCACTGATTTCAAGCTTCAAAACTTAGCTTCCATTAGCGCTGATGAGTAAAACAGCTGAGGTGCAGCAATCTGTCTGCCGCACGAATCAGCTGAGCTAAAAAAACAAGGAAATATAGGACAGGAAAGGGTGGGGGCAGGTGGGCAGGTACAACTGCTCACTGGCACTACCCATTTAGTAGAACCGGTGTGAACCAGCAGCATCCCATATGTGCTTGCAAGTATCAAATTACATTATGATAGACACATATGTATCTACTGTATGTTCAGTGAATAATTTCCATGCCCTTGATACCAAATATGTCAGTTTGACGCACCTTTCAAGGGAGTGCTCCCCTCTAAAAATGTGATTCTGCAGGTGCCAGTTGAATTACCTGGTAAAAGCATAATGCAGAAAAGGACTATGTTTGTGTTCCCATGTTCTATGAAGCACATTTTGGAGAGTGATACTGAAGTATTACATGGCCCTATTGTTCATAGTTGGAGAGGGCTATGGAGGCACACAGTACATAGTTGTGTGCTACAAGTTGGCTATACCTGATAAAAAGTATGCAGGTTGCCTTAAATATTTGTAAATTATATCAAATAGTGCTGATTATTGTGGAGACTGGGTTTTCCCTCCAATATTATTTTTCTCATCTTCCAGTATTCCTTCTGCTGCCCTTGACCTGTTAGACAATATGCTAACACTGGACCCCAGCAAACGATATACAGCAGAGCAAGCATTGCAGAGTGATTTCCTGAAGGATGTTGATATCAGCAAGATGGATCCGCCAGAGTAAGTATCCCTCTCTCTAAGGCAGGTGTCTCAAACTCCATTTCATTGAGGGCCGCATCAGGGTTGTGGTTGACCGTGGGGGGTGGGGGTGGATGTGGCCAGGGTGGGCGTGGCCAGATTCCCTGCCTCCCTCCTTCTCATTCCCATCTCCTTCCCCTCCCCTTCCTCCTCCTTTCCTTATACCCATCTCTCTCCTTCCTTCCTTCCTCCCCTTTCCGCTTTCAGCTCCTCTTTTTCTTTTCCTGTGAGCGGCAGGAACTGCGCTTAGCTTGCAGGGTCTGAGGTTTACTTTCCCTTTCTGCCTTTGCTGCTTCCAACCCAAGGAATGCTACTTCTTTTGCTGCCTCCCCACAAAAAACCTTGCTTCTTTCTCCTTCCTTCCTTCCTTCTCATCTTCCTTCCCTCCTCCTTGCCTCCCTCCTCTCATTCCCATCTTCCTTCCTTCCTCTACGCTCTGGAAGAGATGAGGGGAGGAGGAGACTGGCAGCGCTGCCGGTGGCCGTGCTTACCACAGCTGTGGCTTTTTCACTGTCATGCCTCTGGTGGAGACTGACTCTGAGGGAGAGGAGGAACAGCCAACAGGGAGTGGAAGGGTGGCTCCAGAGGTTGCGGAGGAGGCTGGGGAAGGGCAGAGGCTGGCTGAGCAGGCAGAGGAGGACCCAGGCCCATCCCCTATCCATCCTAGGACACGCAGGGAGGAGAGGTTAAGGGAAAGACGTGGTCTACTTGGGAGGAGAGGGCCTTGATCCTCTTCATGGGATGCAGGTGTGAGAACTGCATAAAAGTTTGGACCTGCATGCTAGCAAATGCTGGAAACAAAGAGTGTTTTATTCCTGGATGAGGTTTATCTTGGTTGGCATTCTTCCAATGGACTATACCTGATTATCTTCTTGAAGTTTGTAATTAATTATCTTGGTCTGTCGTGGAACTTTCTTCAGTGTGGTTTGTTTTTGGTTTTTTTTAATTGCTTCGTTATCTGCTCTTTGAGTTTGGACTGTATTTCTTTCGTTTGGAATGTTATTTTGGAAAGGGTTTAATCTCCAACTGTGAACAATTGAACAGTGAAGCCAAGTTGAAGGCATTAAAGACCATTTATTTAAGTTTTGGTTTTTGTTACATTTGTGGGACACTCCAGGTCATCACAGTCACGCAGGGTGGGGTGGGGGCAGTCCCAGTGAAAGGGAAGCCTCACGGGTCACAAGGCCAGGCCGGCGAGCAGGCAGTGGAGGCACTGGTGGTGGATGTGGTGCTGATCTATAACTGGATGGTGGCCATCCGACCTGGAACATGGTGAGCCTTAGGTCCACGGGACAGCCCTGGAGCCAGATAGGGGCCTCCTTGCCCTCACCCGCTGGGAGTTCACAGAGGAGGTGGCAAGCACCCAGGGGGCGGGGCTGAGGCAGCGGGGCAGTTCCTCACTGGCTCCAGGGTGGCCTGTGGATCTAAGGCTGACTGCGTTCCAGGCCGGATGGCAGCCATCAAATTATAGATTAGCGTCTGGGCCGGGACTGAGGCGCTGGGGTCCGGTCATTCACTGTCTCAAGGGTAGCCCCGCGGGCCAGATCTAGCCACATCAGGCCTTGAGTTTGACACCCCTGCTCTAATGGAAGGAAACATTGCGGAATGAAATACCTAGTCTTTTAGATGTGGTATACAGTATATGTGGTAGATTTGTTGGATTCATAGCAAGGCAGATATGTTATCTTCACTCATAAAAATATGCCTTTAGAATCACTGCCTGCACAATTAGGAAGGAGGCATGTTCATAAATATACTAGCATGAATAAATGCAGAAGATTCAAGAAACTTAGTCAACCTGCAGGTCACAGGGAAAAGGAACCCCACCCTTGGTTTACAAAGTACTTAAACTTTGAAGGATGTGAATTGCTTAGAATTATCTTCCTTGTGTTTCAGTCCCAACGCCTGCTCTTTCTTAGTATATGCAAAGATGCTGCTGGACATCTCCTCTATTCCTGTAATACATATACACATAGCCACACACACCCTTTTTGGGGGGGTCAAGGACCATATGGAATGCGCGGAGGCTACAGGTAGATGAGGCAAGGAGAGAATTGTTTGATCAGAAAACAATAGGCATGTCCAGATTACAAACCACATTTTCTTGCAATTCTACATTTTATTTACTGAAATGGCCCAATGATATATATGACTTAAGCTTTGCAAAAGGCAGTAGTGCAATTCTTGCACCCTCTATATGCCTGTAAACCCTTTTGTGAAGTTTAAGACAAGCTTTAGCCCTCCTCTGAGTCATTCACTCACCCCAAATGACATCCTTTTGGGACTTATATAAGAGTTGCTAAAATATGGGGAAGAAGAGAAGTTTTGCTTTGAACTGTTAGGGTAAACATCATCTGTGAGGAGAGAAATACCAGTAATCTAATATTAGAATTCTTCTTTTGATTGTCTACCCTTGCCACTATTGTCTCTAATGTTTGTGTGTTGTCTTTCTAGCCTTCCTCATTGGCAGGATTGTCATGAACTGTGGAGCAAGAAACGTCGGCGGCAACGGCAAAGTGGGATCATGGTGGAGGAACTCCCCATGGCAAAGGTTTCCCAGAAGGACATAGCCTCTATAATAAGCACTGATGCCATCAAGAATCATAGCAGCCCAGTACCCCAACAGCCTGCTCAGATCAAAACACAACCTGGTTCTGGACACTCACTTGGTCAGTGCATAGCCTAGGAAAATCCTTCAAGCATTAATCAAGTAGCAGAACCTCTTCCTTAAATACTTGAGAAGTTAATTAAATGGAAGTAACTATTTTGAAAGGAAGTATGCACCACAGCAGGGAAAAAAGATAATCCCATTGCAAATGTTAAATTTATATATTTATATCACAGCTTTAGTTAATTTGTTTCCCAGATGGCTTTCAAGAAAATCAAATCATAAGAAACCCAGCATAAAAACTGGTATAATAATCTATTATTATTGTAACTCTAAGTTAAAACAGGAGGTTAAAATTAAAATACTGAATTTGGAGGGGAGGGAATTAGAGTAGGACCTTGGCAAATCGTTCTGAGAGGGAAGTCTATAAATTGGCCAATCCGCAAACTGCCTAATTTCAGATCCTGGGGCACTGCAACTTCGTTTCGGATCTTGGAGGCACTAACTCCTCATTTGAAATTTAGTGGTATTGTCACCTTGTTTCAAATCCAGAGATGAATCTACACAGATTATTTCAATGCATTCAGGTTGATATGGGAATTGCATTTCTTCAGGTACCTGGGTGCCAAGACATTGCAGCAGTGATGGTATTCAGCCAGTCCAAACAAACCAGTAGCAAGGATTTGGCATGGGTCTCCGAACCGGTAGTAAGTTCTGGCTGGCCATGCCCCCGACCTGGTCACCCGGTCGCCACTGGCTCAGTTGCCCTGCCCACCCAATGCTCATTCACCCCACCCGCCAGATGCTCGCCCTTTAAGGTATTTCTTTTTTTTTTCCTCCTGACAATCAGCTGTTCATACGATGAGCTGTGCCAGGATTCCTCTTGCTGAGGCCCAGGAAGGCAAAAAATGGAGGGAGGGCACAGCCCCCCCTCCATTTTTTGCCTTCCTGAGCCCCAGGGGAGCCTTTTGGGAGCAAAAACGCACCCCCCGGAGGCTTGCCTGAGGCAAGGAAGATCCCAAAATGGAGCATGGAGGGGGGTGCTGCGTGCCCCTCCTATGCTCCATTTATTTCTTGCTGAGCCCCAGGGGAGCCTTCTGGGAGAAAAAATGCCCCCCTGAGGCTTGCCTGAGGCCCAGAAGGCATGAAAAACGGGTGGGGGGTGGCTGCAAAAAAGCAAAAAGAAAAAAAGCCACGCCCACCCAGTCACATGGACAACCCCACTTAACCATGCCCACCAAGCCATACCCACAAAACCGGCAGTAAAATTTTTTGAATCTCACCACTGCATTGTAGGGCTTTTAAGCTAAGCACTTTTAGATATACTTAAAATAGTAATGTGTCTTTTTAACACCATATCTATATTAGTAATATATTACCCACATCCAATTTTTTATCTTTTTATATTTCTTATGTTTTCTCAACACTAATAAAATAAAACACTAATACAAAACAGAAAAACCTACATCCAACAGTAACAACAAAACAAAACAAAATTGTGTACAAAAAAGAGAAAAAAATGACCCAAACATCAAATAAGTCTCAGAATTATTAGACTATATCTGTCAGACCTACCCCAGTCCGATCCCTTCGGAAAGAAAGACCCTCCACTCCATTTGTTTGAAGTGATAGGTTCTTTTACTGAAAGATGCTGGCTGCAGTAAGCTCAGGCTAGAACTAAATTTCCCATGCTAAAAAGATACAGAAGGTTTCTCCTCATCTCAGCCCTCCCCCCATCACCAGTTCATCTTCAGCCAATGAAGATTCACCTAGGTGTTTTGAGAACGCTGAGATGTTTGGGATAATCCACATTCCTTCTCAGGGTGCATGGCCCTGAATGCTGGAA